GAACGAACAATAGAACCCGGAGTAATGCTTGGATCATCCTCGATACTCTTCATCTGGGTACCCTAAAATAAAATTAAATATAGGTGGACCCGAATAAATATTTTTAAAATTCATCACTTTTAAGAATGTTTTTATTCGTCTGTAATTTATGCAAAATATAAATTATTATTTATAATTAAATAATGGATTTATTAGATATTATACGTATAAATAATCTGCAATATTCAAAAATTAAATTAAAATTCAATATAATTAATTTTTTATTTCATTTCTTTTAATCTTAATTTATTTTTTCTTTATAATAAATATTGTAAAATTTATAATATATATAATATATATATAAAATTAAGATTTATAATATAATAAAATAATANAATATATATATTATGTATTATTATTATATATATTGTATATATTATATATATATTGTATTATATATAATATATACAATATATATAATTGTATATAATATAATACAATACAAAAAATAAATTTCAGTATAATTTATTATGAATTTTTCAAGTAATAATTGATTCACTCCATTGAGCGAATTAAAATAATTCGAAAATTTATATTTTGAAAACAGTGATTTATATTACAAACCACAAATATCTTTTATTTCATTATCAATATATATTTTTATAATAAATATGCTTATAAAATATTATACTTTTTAAGTTCTAATATAATTATTTCAAATATTTTAAATTAATAATATCATAAGATATTTGTGCTAAAAAAATTATTCTTCACGCAGGAAGTACGATATTGGAAATGGATTACCTTCCATGGCTTGCCAGGTTCAAATTCTGGAACAAGATCGGTAAAAGCAGCACCAGTAGCTGCACCAGTTGACTGCCAATCCTTTCCATCAGTAGAATCCGTATTACCTGGATCTGGCCATCCACTCTCTCCAAGTCTGGTGGACCATGTACCATCTCCTTGACCCAACAAAGGATTCATGTTAGGACTACTGTGTGATCGTGTTAAACCAGCCGGTGTAGCTGCTGGCTTACTGGTTGTTCCTGGTGCTCTCGAGAACTCGTTCGAAACTAACTCTCCATCCTTGTCTAAAGAAGGTAACTTCCACTGGTTTAATCTTGATTGTTGTTGACTCTGTAATAAAAATATTAATTTTGATTTTTGATTACATTAGATTTTTTTTATTTTTAAAATAAATTTGAAAAATTTTATTACTCTCATATTTTAAACAATTACAGTATATTAGGAAGAAATATCATCCTCTATTTAAGAGAATAATTTCATAAAATTTAAATAATTTTTCTCTGGACTATCGTTCTTGTTATTGTTAATAATAAGCAATAATAAAATTGACGAGCAATACAATAGAAAAAAAAAGATGAAATAAAGATGTAACTATGTAATTTTGTGATTTTATTAAACTTTTTTAATTAAATTTGTGTAAATCAAAAAATTATATTTTAGGCAAGACAAAATATATAATCTATTACAATAAAAAAAACGTATGTTACAAAAAAATAATAAAAAATATACTTACAACAGGAGGTTCTTTATTCATTGTCAAATCCGTAAAACTATTTTGCAATGCCGACATAGGATCATGTACCGAACTCTTATAATATTCTGAGCTTTGAGATGGGGCCACAGGATGTTGCTGTTGTTGTTGTTGTTGTTGTTGTTGCTGTTGTTGTTGCTTCATGTAAGTAGCTTGTTGCACAGCAATTTGATTTTGAAGATTTGCTATTTGTTGTTTTGTTTTTGTAATTTGTACACTGATCTGAAGAACAGATTGCCCATTACCCTTCATTGTACTTTGTACAGAATGTTGTTGATGAAGCTGTTGAAGAACTTTGATTTGTTGTAATAGTTGATTCAAAAGTATTAGAGTTTGAGGTGCAAGTGGTTGGTTTAAAATTTGATGGTTTAAGTAACCTTCCTGGACGGCTAACTGAATCTGTTGTACTAACATACGCAATTGTTGAGTACTTGGTTGATTTTGTGGAGCTCTGGAAGCCTACAATCAAAGGAAATATTTTACATAAGAACATTAAATTATTTTTTTAAAAACTATTTTTATATAATATTTTTTAAAATATATTATACAATTTATATATATATTATTATATATAAATAGATATATATATTATATATAGATAGATATTATATATAAATAAATATATATAGTATTATTATA